TATATATATATTTGAGTTTTGATTGTTATTCATAGATTTTTTTCTAAATTATGATATAAATTTATGTAAAGTATAAATAGATAAATTTTAAGAATTTTTATAAAATTCACCTCTATTCCCACTCATTATTATTTATGCACAACATAATTTACAAAGTTCTCACTCTCTTTTATTCTCAATTTTGTATATAAAATGAGTTTTGATTGTTATTAATAAAGTTATTGATACGAGAAAATTATTTATTGTAATTGTTTTAATTTCTTTTCATTCACTTGTTATTGATTGTCATTAACTTTTAGGCTTAATTATTACTTCTCACTTTTGTTTGTTTGTTTGTTTTAAAGATACTTAATATTTATTTGTCTATAGTAAATCCATAACATAAATTAAAATAAAAAATTATTATATTAAATAAATAATTAATAAATAAAAAAATATGTAAAATTGACATTTAAAAAAAGCAAACTTTGATATAGAGGAGAATGATAGTTGGTCAAAATTTTGGAGGTTGAGTTCGATTTTATAAAGCAAACTTGAGGATGTAAATGATTTTTTCTCCTTCATTTTCTTATAGAATATTTTTTGTTTTTGTTTTTCATCATGCGTCTTTGTGACCCGACTAGTTCGAATTCGAGCCGAAAAATCTCACTTTTGAAGAAAAGCTTTCTCTATTAAATGCCTCTTCATTCCAGTTCTCGACCTCTAATCAAGAATGAAAGAGTGCTTACCAATAAAGGTGCTTATCGGGCGGATCAGAAGGATAATTACACTTAACAGTTCAACTTAACGATTATCAGATTATAAATATAGTAATCCGCTAGCCATCCAATAAGATAAAGGGCGGATTGGTATCAGATTAATAATTATCGGACGGTTATCGGGTGTCTTATCGGCTAAACCAAATAGAATTTTTTTGAACAATCATTCAATCAATACCAAACAGTTTCAAACCAATACCAAATTTTTAATACCATCTAAGATCTAACCAAACAGTATTTTTTAATTGAAGAGTCTTCAAGACTACTCATACTGTCATACACGTATTAACCAAATTTTTAATACCATCTAAGATCTAACCAAACAGTATTTTTTAATTGAAGAGTCTTCAAGACTACTCATACTGTCATACACGTATTAACCAAATTTTTAATACCATCTAAGATCTAACCAAACAGTATTTTTTAATTGAAGAGTCTTCAAGACTACTCATACTGTCATACACGTATTAACCAAATTTTTAATACCATCTAAGATCTAACCAAACAGTATTTTTTAATTGAAGAGTCTTCAAGACTACTCATACTGTCATACACGTATTAACCAAATTTTTAATACCATCTAAGATCTAACCAAACAGTATTTTTTAATTGAAGAGTCTTCAAGACTACTCATACTGTCATACACGTATTAACCAAATTTTTAATACCATCAAGACTACTCACACACCGTATAGGGGTGGGGGTGGATGAAATGGAGGTTAGCATCTGGAGTCCTGTGTGATAAGAAAGTGCCACCGCTACTCAAAGGTAAGTTTTATAGAGCAGTGGTTAGACTGACCATGTTGTATGAGGCTGAGTGTTGGCCAGTTAAGAACTCACATATCCAGAAGATGAAAGTAGCAGAAATGAGAATGTTAAGGAGTTGTGTGGGCACACTAGGATGGATAAGATTAGGAATGAAGATATTCAGGAGAAGGTGGGCGTGGCTCCCATTGATGACAAGATGCGGGAAACGAGGTTCAGATGGTTCGGGCACGTACAAAGGAGAAGCTTGGATGCCCCGATAAGGAGGTGCGAGCGGTTGGCGTTGGTAGGTACGATGAGAGGTAGATGGCGGCCTAAGAAGTATTGGGGAGAGGTGATCAGGCGGGATATGACGCGACTTTAAATCTCCGAGGACATGGCACTCGATAGGAAGCTGTGGAGGTTGAGACTTAAGGTTGTAGGTTATGAGGTAGTTGAGCATATTTAGTCTACCAGTTTGAGGCTAGGCTGATAGGATTTAGTCTTAGATTGCTAGTGGTTAATATTGTGTTTATACTACTTTTCCGTTTCCATAGTGTCGGGCCTTATATATTGGTTATTATTTCTACTTTCCATCTATTTACTGGTTCTTGTGATGTTGTTATTATTTCTATGAATAGTTTTTGTTGATGGTAGTGATATATTGTCTCTTTTCGTCTTCTTGAGGTGGGGGTCTATCGGAAACAACCTCTCTACCCCTTCGGGGTAGAGGCAAGGTCTGTGTATACACTATCCTCCCCAGAGCCCACTTGTGGGATTTTATTGGGTCATTGTTATTGTTGTAAGACTACTCATACAGACATACACATATTAATCATTGGGATTTCGATTTTTCGACTTCTCAGTTCTCAGTTCAAGAGAGAGACAAGACTGGCGACTTCTCTATCATTGAGAATTAGAAAATAGAAATTGGAAATTTAGCAATTTAGGGTTTCAATAGTACTTTATATACAAAAGGGTAAAAGTATAAATACAAAAATTCTTAACGGGTTAATGTTTTACTCAATAAGAAAATTGAGTAATTTGCCCCCAAACCGTTAAGCCGTTAATTATAAAATTTCAATCTATTCACCATCTATTACCTCGATAATCCAATACCAATAAACTATTGATTCGATTCGATTAACGGTTTCGGTTCGATTTTGAACAGCCCCTACGTACCACCCACCACGTCAAAGGATGGTATATTTTATTAACTATGTAGAGAGCAAGAGATTTCTATTACCCACTAAAGAAAATACTAATATCTTCTCTATTCTAATTTGTTTAATATTTTTCACTTATTGAAAGTTAGTTTGACCAACTTTAACTTTATAACAAATGATTGACTAAACTAATTCACTTTTAGATTAAATTTTGGATATCCAGAAATTCTATAACATAAGGTGCAACTTCATTAAATTAAACAAAATGGCAAGAATACGTTTTAAAATGTCAAAAATTCAGTTAGTTGAAATCATAAAAGACGAATGTGTCACAAGTACTTTGAAAAAGAGCTGAGTAGAAAAAAGTAATTCCCATACCTGCTCGGTGAAAAAGGAAAATTCTCCCGTAACGTTGATGTCTAGGAAAAGAAAGTTTTATATTTCAGAATCCACCTGTTGTTATTCAACCAAGCAACAGGGGTGCATTGGACCATCAACAAAGCCAATTTGCCTAGGTTGGATGAAAGTTCAGAATTTTAAAAAGCTAACTTTTTTTTTCTGGAATTAATTTACTAATTAAATGTTTTATAATACCCAAAACTTATGAAAAATTACTCGAGCCTAATCTACTACTCTCCTAATATCGCATTTCCTTTTCCTTTTCCCTTTCCCTTGAGGAAATAAGATTCTTTTTGGAACTTTTTCCAAAAAGATAAGAGGCTATAGATTAATGAAGGGTGTTCTGGTCATCACAATATGAATATATTGAAGATAGCAAACACCTTCCAAAGATTCACATGGGCAAAACAGTCATTTTAAGAATAGCTTAAGTACATATGTAGTATATAATTATGGAAGAAGTTTCAACTCTTTTATCTGTTTCTCTCTCTATATTAACTCTTTGTTTCTTTCTCTATCTACTACCCCCATCCCCACAACCCCACTACCCCAAAGCTAAGGGAGGAGGCCCTTTTTGCTTACCAGCAATAGCATCAGCACCACCCTCTCTACCCAAAACAAAGACAATAGCATAATGAGAGGAATAGTAGAAAGAAATAAAAACAAAAGGTGGTAGAGGTAGATAGATGCATGAGTGAGTAACAACAACAACTACTCCCTACAATTACAAACACAATCTCCACCTCTTTCTTTTCAGTTTTCTCTCTCTTTTTCTACCACCCACAGCCTCTTCTCTTTATGTATTCACCTTCTAGTCTTACCAAATTCTAGATTCCAAATTCTTGATTTCCCCCTCGGTTCCCACGCTAGCTTCACCAACCACTTTTCTTCTTCCTCTTACTGTACAATCTTGTTGTAGTTTTTAAGGTACTATATTGTTGTAACTGTTTCTTTTTGGTATTTGTTGACTAATTATAGTTTAACATGTGGGAAGTGGGAAAATTTGTTGTAATGAGATTTTGTGACTGCCTCGGTCATTGTGTTTTGGATGATAGAGGACAAATGATACTCTTTTACATGTGGGAGGTTTTTTCATATTCTCTTGTTCTAATTATGTTAGATGTTTGTAGTGTTGGAAAGTTGGTTCTTGGGTTCTTTGTTCTTCTGTTTTCTCCACAAAAAGGTGGTAGGTTGGTGAGAGTTGACTTAGTCTACAAGCAGAGACATAACCTTATCTTCCAAAAGGGATTGTGTATATCTGTAGATTCTCATTCAAATCTATTTTTGCTTTATGGAAATATTATCTTCAATGCCTGCTAGATGAATCACTAATCACCTTTTTACTTTTGTTCTGGGCTTGTGAAAGCTGCGAACTTGGGCGTTCATGGTTTTCTTTTTTGTCTGTTGTCACCTTTGTCTTGTCGCTTGGATTCTTTATACCTTTCATAAAATGTGAAATTTCCCCAGGGTGACGATTTTTTGTCTGTACCCAATTAGTATTAAGCTTAGCCATAGGTATTGTTGTGGAAGTAATCACCCCCCCAAAATTCCTCTTCTAAATTCCTGTTGTTGGAATTCCGCTTTCTCATTGCAGTATACATCTGATTATGCAGTCTTCTTCTCTTAAATTGTCACTCTGCTGTAGGCATAAATTTGGCGAGCTATGGTGAGCATCCGAAGGCGTAAGCTGTTAGGACTTTGTTCTGGTATGGAAAGTTAGTGCATCTTTGTTGATTATATCCATTTAAGTTGGATAGACCTGTAGTTTCTATAGTTTGTAAATATACTTGTCAATTTTTCCATCTACTGTGAACTAGAATGCCTTCACTCTCGGGTGAATTTACTTAAGAAGTTCTGCAATACCTTTGGAACTTTTTTGTTTTTTGATATCCAAATGATTATGAAGGACGAAGCTCGTTCTTGGTCCCACTTCCAAAGTTCTCTGAGAATGGACACATTGCCGAAAATTGTTTCCTGAACAACAAATCCACAAGTGTCCATCCAATGCCGTCAACTGATATTGATGAGTCAAAAGAGGTAAGAACAGTTTATTGATGCTCGTATATTGCATAAGCATGAATGTCTAGATTTACTGGATTCTGTTTCTAGAATAAAGGCTCGTCATAATTCTGTTTCTAGTATATTGCATAAGCATGAATGAGATTTAAATGGATACTCGACCATGTTTGTTGCTCCTTTAACACTTTCTATGGACTTACCTGCATTGTCTACTAGAACTGATAACATTCTGACTATCATAAAATATAAGTTAATTGGAATGATGAGAAAAAAGCAGATGAAAAGGAAAGAAAGACAAATAACTATCAAAGTGTTCATCCCCTTATTTCTATGCCTATGCAGCAGTCCTCTTTTAATGATTATCGAGAGGGAGATCCGCAGCTTTCTTTTGTCAGCTTGGTAGTTTGGTTATCTGGTACCTGTAAATGAAGTCAAATCTTTTAATTTCTGGGGTTCTGTCCAGCTTTATTTGAATTAAATGTTCTCTTTCCAGTTGATAGGATGTTAATTCACAAAGGATCATGTGGAATCTTCTGCCTGACCCACTGAATTAATTTTTTTTCTTCTTCTTATAAACACTAAAGTATTTTTGCAGGCATTTTTTATATCCTAATCTATTGTTTCAATGCTCTATAGAAAACTGCTGTAAAGGTTGTTCCTGGATCATCAAAAGGTCATGCCTCTGGCTCCTTGATTGAGCAAACCGCCCAACAATTTCCAGGTTTATTCTTATATACTAATGATGATGTTGATTCACCTTGTTGCCTGTTATTCTATCTCATTATGTAATTGTATATTTTACTGATGTTTATAATACAGCAAAGTTAAATATGTCCATTCTGGTGTCTTCTACATGACTGCACGTAATTATTCAGCCCAGCATTTGGTTTAGCTGACTTTAAAAATATTGTTGCTTCTGAAACAAAGTTCTTAGCTCATCGCAACTGATGGACAATATGGTGCTTTACAAAGCCCTTTGAGAGCCGGTAGTTCATTAAGAACAGGTCTAAAGGAGAAAGCTAGGTAGATAAGAATAAAAAAAGGCAGAAACCTGGGGGTGGGAGTGGGGGTGGGGGTGGAGGGACAGATTGTTAAAATATTGATGAGGACAGACAGGAGCATCATGTAAAGGTACTTGAAGAATTTTCTGAAGTATATTAGAATTAAACATGATAAGTAATTTAACATTGCCATGAAGCAAGCGTCTGCTGCAGACAAAAGCTCAACGACATGAAGCACATACATGGACGATATCCTTTTTCTACTTATGTGTGATTCCTCTGCTTCTATACTTTTAAAATACAAAACAAGGAACCATCTTGAATAATTAATTAGCTTCGTCTGCTTCATCAAGCTTTTTCAAAAGCCATATGTTGCTATTGTATCTAGTTCATATTTTTGTTTAGCAACTTGTGCTGATATTATTTCATGTTTGTGGGATATGTCCCTTGAAACATAGCTGCTTGCTATCATCAGCATATCATCGAAAAGTTCCATCAAATGATGAGTTGCTCCATTTTGCTCTTTACATGAATGAACTTGTGAATTAGCTGGATGGTATTTGGATACTCCTACTTTAAACTAACGGTTCTTGACTTGTCCGGAAGATCCTCTAGTTCCATAAATCCTAGTGCAAGAATATTCAAATTGAGCATTTTGTAGGGAATCTCTTGTATCTATAGAAGTGCCACTTGTATTCCTTTAAATAACATTTGTGCATTAGTTATTCCAGAAGTTAAACGCAGAAAGCGACACAGGAGGAAGCACTTTGAAAACCAAGAACCATGTCTCATGAGAGGTGTCTACTTTAAGAATATGAAATGGCAAGCTGCAATAAAAGTTGATAAGAAACAAATCCACTTGGGTACAGTTGGCACTCAAGAAGAAGCTGCTAGACTGTATGACAGGTATCATACTGCTCGCAAATTTATTTCTCTTGACCTTTGTTAAGTTGCTCCTCCTACTATGTGATGTTAAAAATTTCCAAATGTGTGATAACCTCATAACTTACAGGATCCTTGTTTAGTTCTATTGCAATTTGATTCTTGGATGGAAACTTAAAATGGACGGAGTTTTTCTTTTTCCTTTTAAATTTGTAGGGCTGCTTTTATGTGTGGGAGGGAACCGAATTTTGAAATCTCAGAGGAGGAGAAGCAGGAACTAAGACAATTCAAATGGGATGAATTTTTAGCATTTACGCGCTCCGCAATTACTAATAAGAGTAAAGTTCCACTACTTTCCTAGTCTTTGTAGCAGTTCTTAGTGGGCTATAGTACTAAACAGATAAAATATTTTTGCAGAAACTCGAAGACGAAGTGGGGCTGGTTCACGGAGGAAATCTGAGCCTTTAACTTCAACACCGAATAGTGAGGAGGAGGAGGAAGAGGAGGAGGAGGGAGGGGAGCCAGAAAGCAATGGTTTTTCAGCCTCTGAAGATATAGAACAAGACATATCGTTCTCTTGATCCTGTCTCCCTCCTTTCTCTGCTGAAAGAAATAGTGCTAATGATTTTATTAAGCTGTCCAGCCACGTACTAATTAGAACTCCATGACTCTTATCATTCGTATAGATTTATTTACACACAAGTATAGGTGCCCCTATTAGGGCAATATGATGATATGTCTTCCTATTGTTTAAGGTAATTGAGTTTGATTACTATGCATATCTTGAGATGTATTGTCATGCTTGATGAAGTGGACTTTGACAAATGGAAGCAACGTTGATTAGCATTTCTAACTTACGTATAAATGGAACACAGAAGGGAAATAAAGAAATTTTGGTCATATAAGTATGACGAGGGGATCGATTAAGTAGGTTGACAGTTAACATAAAACAATCAAGGCTTTGATGATCGATTTATAAGCATGATATCATGAAGTCCTCCAAATATGTCAAAAGATGATGAGATACTATCATACAAATGCCTTTTTAATGTTTGCAAAGGAGGATAGAATTAAAAGATGTGTGGAGGGAAGGCAGTTGCAATTTCCTTGGATGGCAATGTTAACATCATATGGGCCAGTTTCTGTTGGAATAAAATTTAGACAAAGCAAATAAGTTTCCACGTTATACTGCAAATGACTTTGCCAAATTCTTGGATTGACTGCCCTCATCAGCTGGTCTATCATTGAGCAATGACTACTTTTCACTAGCAACTTTAATTGTGAAAGTCTTTCTGATTGGACATTTATTTTCAGCCACTCAAGTCCTTGTGTCCAAAAAAGATAGCGATGTGTGATATTTTTCGTGAGATTTGAATGTTGCACCTAAGTGGTATAATGTGAAAGTGTAATCACTTGGCCGCAATTACAATCTTTCGTTGAGTCTAACTTAGGCTGTTAACATATGCAAGTATTTCATATTGTTAAAAATGGTTTCATCTTAAAGATCACAAGGCGCTGTTTTATTTGCATATTCATGAAAACGAAATAGGAAAATAGGTAGATTGCTCTAGACAAAGGTTGATGTAAAGAAAAGAAATAATTATCCAAGATTTAAAAAACAAAAACTTTTTATCCCTTTTTTCCGACATAGTTAGTAGGAGTGCAAAGAAAGCCTGAAGTGCATGGTAAGACAGTTTAATTCGCACTTATGGTGAGAGCCCTTTTATTGTTTGTTTCAGGAAATTAATTGAATTTTATATCTTACAATACTTGGTTTCCACTGGAATTGGATAAAGCTCATGAAGAGTTATAAAAAGAGATTGCTCAAATTTCGTTTTCATCTGATACCATAACAAATAAACGCTCCATAAAATAGTGCATATAATATATTGAGTTTGTTCTTTAAAATCTGATAGTAACATTGCTGGATTGTCCTCGGGACAAGTGGGAAATGTTTAATCTTCTAACCACCTTCCAAAACTGAGAAAATATATCATTCCTAGCCCTCAAGAGGATGTTTTGAATTTTTGTCCCCGCTTGCCCTTTGGACGGAATTTCAAGTTTAATAAGTATTATCCCTAGCTAGCCCCATGGGCAATACTAACTTTGACCTTGAAGTCCTGCTCATAGGGCAAACGGGGGTCAAAAGTTAAAGACCACCTCAAAAATGGGTAGCCAATTCCGAAAAGAATGAACAACACGCAAGCCCAATAAATCTACAAGGCCGAGATTATAGGACGAGAATTTGGCGTAGAAATGACACCAGATAACCACTCTAAAGGTCTGTTATTTAGGAATTAATCAGTGCATCCTGAGTTTCAGTTTTTCAGTTTAAAATTTCAAGACAAAAATGTCCTGAAGTTAAGATTTTTAGTTTAAAATTTCAGGACAAAATAAGTGCTGGCTAATCACTACATAGCATCCATGAGAATGACTATCTGTGCAATTGCCCCGAATTTGGCATGGCATGTAGGTCCAACTTGGCATAAAAAAGTCTACGTTTTAGCATTTGGCATATGGTAGCCTAAAGTTATTCTCTCTCTTCTAATGGTTCAACCATCATCCTAAAAATAAGTTCTGTCAAAATTATTTTCCTTAAAAATAGAAAAAAATATTTAAAACTCTCTCTCTCTCTCTCTCTTTGTGTTTCGGCCCTTCTTCGAACCCCGCGCATAGTGAAAGCTTAGTGCATCGGGCTGCCCTTTTTTTTCTCTCTCTTCTTTCATATCAACCATCATCCTAGAAATTAGGCTCCATATTCGAAAAATTTCCCAAATTTTTTTAGTTTTTAATATGTATATCCAAATATATATAATGTAATAAAAAGTATATTATTTGTATATTACAGTGTGTAACATAATAATAATAATAATGTGTATATCAAAATTTTATTTTCCTTCTTTGTATAACACATTTCAGATTGAAACTCAAGTTTCAAGACGACTCCACCTGTGTATCCCTCCCATTGTATCCTGTGTATATCCCCATGTACATCAGTGGATTTCAGTCACACCCACTCATTCGATCCAACAAAAAAAATAGAAGAAAAATAAAGTTGAACACTATTTTTTCATATTTTCTTTCTTAGTTTTTGCTTCTGATTTTCTTTGAGGAGAGATCAACCATATCTTTTTATCCCATTGATTTTGTGCATAATATGCAACAATTTTTGCTAAATCAAGAGAGAGAAAAAGATAGAGATAGAAAAAGAAATATAAGGAGAGAAAGGAAGAGGGAAATGAAAAAGACACGTAGAGAGAATAAATTGGAAGTAGGTTTTTTCAGATTTGGCTATATAATGCCAATTTCTTTAGGGCTGCCTTTGCCAACATAATTTAAGGTCAATAATTTGCCAATTCCTCTTATATATTGTTACCCGGTGTCAATTTTCCTGGAGAAATTCAAAAATAGTCAGATTTACAAGTGGTCATTCAAAAATAGCCATACTTTCAAAAGCAATCGAAATTTAGCCACTTTTTATGTAAAGATAAATCTGAACGAAAACACTGTTCAAAATCCGAAAAATACTCCAATATATTATATATTATACTGGATTTCCAACATAAGTATACTGGAACTCCAGCATATTATACTGGAGTTCCAGTATAAGTATACTGGAACTCTATCATAATATAATGGAGTTCCAGCATAAGTATACTAGAACTCCAGCAAAATATACTAGAGTTCCAGCAAAGTATACCGGTACAGTATAATATGTTAAAAGTTCATATACGGGTGCTCGAATCTCCAGTACATTATGCTGGAACTTTCTGCGTGTTGGAGTTCCAGCATAATATGCTGGAAGTTCATACACAGGTGCACCGAACTCCAGTATATTATGCTGGACCAGTCTCTGTTGCAATAAAGTAGTGGCTATATTTTAATAATTTGGCAAACACTGGCTATTTTTGAATGACCAGTCCGAAAACTGGCTAACCGGTGCTATTTTTACCAATTTCCCTCAATTGGGCCCAGTTCTTATAGTCCAAAACAAAGCTTGGTCAAACAGTCCACATCTCACTTCGAATTCAAGTCCTCTACTAGAATGTTCAAAAGAAGCCATTGAATCACATGGCTTCGGCTTCGAATGACAAGCCACTTGATGAAGTTTCTTCTTCATTACTAAATTGGAAAGAAAGGATTCTTATACCGACTCTACTAGCAGGTAATTTTAGCAACTCCCTGATTTCAATCATATACCTTGTAGGAGTATTAAATTTTTTAGCATGTATAAGTTTGTTGATCAGAACTTTAATTCTTCTTAAACCCCTTTTTGGTATTATTAGGGGTGGCAGGTGGAGGAGCTGGTCTGGTATCAAAGCATCGGAAAGTTCATGGCTTAGCTAACATTTCTGCAACATATGCTACTAATTTTGCTATTGTTACTGCCTCTTATTGCGGTAATTGAATTTTCCAGGCTATGAAATGATTAATTCTTCCACTTTGTTCTAGTATTTGCTAATTAAATCTTCGGACAGTCTAGAGGCCCACTGTTGCAGACTCGAACTATATGTAGTGACATAGAATAATATTAAGAAGTGCATCCACTGCTCACACCCTTTTCATAAATGGCTTGGTGTGGTGGAATGAATGTGATTTCTCCATTCTTTTTCAGAGGTCTCGCGTTTGAGCCCTAGGAATGGAGAAATTCCTGGTAGAAAGTACTTCTCCTTGAATGAGCCCTATGCAATAGGTACTAGATACCGGATGGTATTACCCCCAAAAAAACATAATTGAAAGACTGACAATGCTGCTACTGTTGCACTAAATTTCTGCTTCATATGTCAACAATTCTTTCCATTGTTGATTCTGGAATCAGTGCTTGTTGGGAAATGGCGGTAATGGGGTTATCTGAAAAACTAGTGGCCTCTTAAAAAAAATCTAGCCGGACATTTGGTGGTTTTAATTAACTCTTGCCCTTGTATCGGTGTCCTAATCATCCTTCAATCCATGGGATATCTTCCAAATGCTTCTGTTCAATTGCTTTTCATCATGGCAGCTTATTCCGCATCAAGTTACTTCACATCATTTGTGCTTTCTAGCTTCCTTCCAAATTTTTTTGCAAGGACACTCAACCTAGTAAATTTTTAAAATGATCAGCTTTAAACTACAGTACTTATTGCGTTTAAAAAGAAAAGAATCACATGGGTCAATTGTAGTCAACAGAGTGAAGGTAGCCAAGACACTAGATCTTCTGCTGCTCTGTCCATATAAGACTGGAGACTGAGCCTAACATATGCTTCTTTATTTGAACTTGAACTCTTTTTATATTCACTGCATTTGAGTAGAAAGGTGCCTTATGGTCGATGGTGTTGAAAAGAATGAATACTGAGCTTAACATATTTGCTCGTTTCATTCTATGGTAGGTGCTCGTGAGCTTGTAAGAGTAAGTAGAATTGGAAGGCCTGATGATTTGCTAAACTCAGCAATAGGAGGTTTTGGCAGTGGTGCTATTCTTGGACGCCTGCAAGGTCAGATTTACATCTCTCTCTGTCTCTCTTTCCGTGTGCATCTATCTTAGTAGTTCCTGAGCAAAAGTAGGCTACTGTAAACATTAACTCAAGATTTGGTCCATTCTTTTCAATGCTGTTAATCTCACAAGATCATGTTTTTACCTATGAAAAAAGAAAAAGAAAAAGAAAAAAAACTTGTTCAGTTGTTAAACTGTCATTGTAATTGTAGTCTAATTGAAGTAGCCGGTACTCAGATTTTCCATCAACATGGTTTTTGCTTGTTGAAGCCAAACAAGAGCGGCTAAACTTGCATAATTTATAGTAACTTGATTTCCTACATTGTCCATTCGAGCGGAAGTTCCAAATTCAGGTGACTGTTTAACGAGAAGTGGTTCTTTGAATAACAAGAGGTTTGTGTCTTTTTAAAGATGACCTCATTAGAGGTTATGGATACTTGTTCAATGGCTTTCATTTTCAACTACTTCATGAATCCAAGCATCACTTTAAGTACGCTAAAGATGTTTTTCTAGTACCAACTCTGTTCAGGACTAGTACCAATAACTGAGGGACGCATTTCCATTTGCCCTAATTTGTTTCTAAAACAGTTGTTCTATGCATCCTTCTCAAGAAACAGTTGTTCTATGCAATCAGTGTTAACATCTTTGTAATGTCAATTCAAATATTTGTGCTCCATGTGTGTTCTTACCTAGGTGGGGATCCTGCTTTAACATAAGTACTAGGCTATTATGTAATGATGAAGGCGCTTATGCAAACAACCACACTGCTAGTGAAGTTGTTACTACCTAGTAAAAAGCTTCATTCATTTCAAGATTTGGCATATGCTTGTGCAAAGAGCCCATCGATGCTAGAAAATTGAAGTCTAAAATCTTGAAAAGGCTATAAATGGTTCATCTTTGGTATTTTTTGTTTGTCAATCATTGATTTGAAGTGACAAAACCCAATGCTGATCTGAAACTTTGTGCATTTCCCTTTTACTCCTATTTGTTCCAGTTTGCTGCTCTTTCAATGTGAAAGTGAAAGTTCTGCTACCCAGTATCTGATTTCATTTTTCATCACTACCTTTTTTCCATGGTGATGCCACTAATTAAAATTCCTTTGTGTTTGGAAGCAATTTGAAATTTGAAAATGGAATGACAGCCTTCATCTATGGGTTCTGATTTCTTAATCTATGATATCCTATACCTTTGTCTCAAAGACATGTTATTCATCATGTTTGATGTTTATGAACCCGATAACTGGCTTACCTGTTCTTTTCGATGAAATTGTCAGGTGGTCAACTTGGTGCTGTTCGTTATTCAGTCATTTTTGCAGTTGCTGGAACGACAGTTGATTATGCTACCATCAAAATAAAACCAGTCTTGAGAAGCTTCTATAACTCTATTGTCAATAGGAAAGATGATTGGTTAAAATTGCCTGAGTGGTCGCCAATCAAAGTGCTTGATGAGGAAGCTCTTGCAGCAAAACGTGCTCGGGAAGAGCAACTATACACAAGTGTCCACAATCTGAACAAGGAGGAGTCTTGATATTTAAGTACCTTTTTGCAAGAAGCGCCACCAAAAGTTGAGAAGGAAAGGTTCTGCTTCCGCTTCCATGCCCTTCAGGTTTAAGACGAGCAGAAAATTCAAGCATTTACCGGGTATTCAACATTTCAAGTGCCTCCTGAATTTCACTGTGGTAAAGGGGTGAAACTTCGAATTCGTGTGCCCTGCATATTTACTAATGCTATGGATATGGCAATTATTCTTCTCTTATACCATAATTTCTTTGTAATACAATCGACATTTTGTTTACTTTTGAGTTATCAAACTCGACTACACTTATAGCATGTTTGGCCAAGCTGGAAATAGCTGTTTATTTTGAGAAGTGCTTTTCGAAAAAGTACTTTCGGAGAGAAGCAGTTTGTGTTTGGCTAATCAATCTGAAAAGCACTTTTGAGCAATAATTTGTGTTTGGCTAAGCTTTTCAAAGAGTGCTTTTAAGTATCAAATTACGAACAAGGACATGAAAAGATTTACTTAATAGTTAATATTATATGAATAAATAAATAATCTCAAATATTTATTATTAAAGATAATAATTAATTTTTTTATTTTATTTAAGTAAAACATGAAAATAAAATTTAAAAGTACTTTAATTCTTTCAAGATGATTTAAATATATCAAAATATTATTTAATAAATATAAAAACATTCATCTCAAAAGTCACCATATATTAGAAAGTTATCCTAAAAATAAAGAAATATTTATACATTAGGAGAGTTCAATAATATAATCTCTAATTCTAAGTATTAGGTTTAAAATAAGTAAGGTTATATTGATATATATACCATATTTTGCTAAGGGTATTTTTAGTAAGAAGAAAAGTCAAAACTGTTTCTGATTCTGGGGAGAAGCTACTTTTTTCTGTATCTCTAAAACTGCTTCTGCTTCTTCCCAAAAGCTTTTTTTTTCCAAAATAGCTTGGCAAGTTAAGAAAAAAAGTGCTTTTTGAGAAAAAAAGAAGCAGCACTTTTTGGGTGGGGAGAAGCTTGGCCAAACAGGCTTTAGTAAATGAACGTTTTGAGTACAATGCTTAAGTTTTTGAGCAAGGAACCATTTATTGTAATTGTCAAAAATCATACTCACTGTTGGATTATGTTGATGATCATGCATTAATCATCTGCGCTTCTTTCATTTGTCTCATACCACATTACCAACCAAATTTATTTCATTTATTTCGTACTAATGATACCCCATGTGCTTTGAATTGAGCTTCTAGGGAGAGGGGTTAGAGGGCAAGAATAATTGAGGAAATCTGAAACTCATTTCATTGTGTAATGCAATGATCATCTTTCTTGTCAAAAGATACAAGAAATGTGCTGCAACAGTAAATTGAGACCTACAAACAGCAGTAACCACAAGTGCATGTCATCGACAAATTTGATCTCCAGTATCGAAATTCACAGCGATGTTTCAGGTCTCGTATTTCACACCCTACTTAAAGCTAAATTACAACTAAATGGCTAAAGTTCTTATAAGCTCTCACGAAAGCAGCGAGACAAGAGAAACAAACTCCAAAGTCACCCGTCCCTTGGACCGCGTATTGATGACAAAATGCTCCGGGTATTTTCTTAAAAGCATCAGCAATCCATACCATGGCTTTGATTTGGCTTCAGGGCTAGGATAATCCTCAGATGTTAAGTATCTCCTCACACGACTATGATGCCAGGTATTGCCGTAGTGTTCCACCAACTACAAAAGCAAAAGCTTGTCATCAGCCAAAACTCCAACTCTAACAACTTAAAAAATCTACGCTGTCTAACAAAAAGCTGAGCAGGAGCAAAATTTTCCCACAACAACCATGAACATGAAGCAGGAAATGATATTTGATACAGGATCGAAAGACAATACAGTACTCTATGGGATCTGTTTAGAGAGAAGACAAAATGCAGTCAATTGTCAACAAAGTAGAACAGCAACTTCACCCATAATTAAGCAAAACCTCGCCAAGGTTATAAAGAATGAAGGCATGCTCTTTTCTTTTCAAAATAAAAAGATGTAACAGAAAATTCTACATTATCTACAGTGCATGCTAATTTTAAAGTGAAAGTTCACCACTGCATGTCTAACACGCAAAGTAACCATAACATTATTAATCGTCAGAGACTCCTGACTAGGTATAAGATCTTCATCTGTGTTTAATCAAAGCCCAATTAGGTAAATGGCTTTAAAGGCTTAATAATCAAGTAGGAAATATGGAGTAAGGTCAATATATGAGAAATTGGTGTGGAATTCTATCAGTGGTGCTCGGTTCAGGAGAATGGTCTTGATGATTGCACCATGTACAGGGGAATCAGAAAAGGTTTCAACATTTTTGCAAATATTGCTGCTTTAGAAAGGGAAGGGATTCACGAGAAACAGAATCTACTTTTGACCATGATAATGGCCTTTGAGATTGAGCTTCCTGCTAATATAATTTTGATGGATAAAGATGTAACTTGTGAGTGGAAAAACATCATTTTCAACCCTAATTTATAGAAAGGACTTGCAGGTTGAGGAGGTGGTACCTATGCTGAATCTCTTCAATCCTAATTCCTAAAAATCCTCTCAACATTAATCTTAGGGGAAATGATGTGTTAAGCTGGTTATGGACTGCTGACATGTTTTTGGTCATGTTGTACAATAACCAGTAGAGATGGCAATGGGACGGTGCACGTGCAGGGCGGGGCGGGTGTGGGGCGGTGCAGGTTTAGACAAATGCGGGTGCGGGGCGGGGAGGGTCAAAATAATTTTTTTAAAAATCCGTGGGGTGCGGGTGCGGGTTTGTGACTTTGTAGTTTGTACTAATTCTCTTCAGCCTTTGCTGTTCCCCTCTCGGCTCCACCTCTAAAGACAGAAGCCTGAAGCTCTCTTTCAGTGATAGAATGCAGAAGATTCAAATCCTTTATATAGAAATCAAATCATATTAAGTCTTGAAATTGTTCTATCACCTAAACCTGTAGAGTTAACTTCACAGAAATTAATACATTAAGAATTTAATTTGGTTAATTATGTTACTTAAATTTAGCTTCCGATTTCGGTGAAAACTTTCAAGTTTTCTGTTTATCTTTCTTGCAAATAGTAACAAAATCCAGCTTTAATTCACAAATACTTAAGTGAATTATAAAGCAAAAAAGAAAACCCAAATATCAAAGATATTGTTATTAATGTTCAGTCTTAGTGTTTAGCTTCTGTATGCTTATCTAAATAATTGCTTAACATTAAAAGGGAAAAATTTTGATTGACAAATTTAAAAAGGGGGGGTTGAAATTTTGCAGGTTAAGGCATAACCCGCCCCGCACCACTTGCCATTCCTAATAACCAGCTGGTTAAGAATACAGAGGTGACAGAATTTCCATGGAACATCATCTAAGAGCTATATTCTAAGTAGACAAATTTTTCATAGGAAGCTGTCTTGGATGCCCCTCTTATGGGGACAGGTCTCAGAGTCACCCTCATTAACTGCTGTACCTTGTGTCGAAGATGCATCAGAACTGCATCGGTTTGCCGGCCCCTTGTGTCTGTGGTGGGTGTCCAATGGACCATGCCCCACTCCATAAGAGTTGTTGTTGGCTTTGAAAAGGCTATGTTGCACAGACTCTTCAAAATTCCTGTCGCACCAATGTCGACACGACATGGGTGTGGGTGTGGGATCCACACCGGATCTGGTCAACTTACCTTGGGTGCTTTGACTACATCTATGACCGTGAAGTATATGATTGATTTGGTATTCGGTTTGATATTTGGGTTTATGCCAATAATATATCTCCCTCCGTTTCAATTTAGATGATACACTTTCCTTATTAGCCTGTTCCAAAAAGAATGACACATTTCTATAATTGAACTTTAAACTTTTCATTTTATCCATTGTATCCTTAATGAAAAGCTTTTATAACCACACAAATGTCATGGCCCCACAAAGTGTTTACCCCTTAAGCTTTTAGGACCACAAGTTTCAAAAGTCTCCCTCTTTTTTCTTAAACTCCGTGCCGAGTCAAACTACCTCATCTAAATTGAAAGGAAGGGAGTATATAGTTATGTAAAGTATGAGAGTGCTTTGCTATTACACAAGATATCTTATGAATAAAATATTAGGTGTTTATAAAGAATTAAAGTTTATTAGTTTTAGTTCAATAGCTTTAATTAATCGAGATATATACCATATATGTCGTAATATGCATTTATTGGCCGTTACCCCGCACCTTATCCGCACTCGTATCCATACCCTCGAATTCTAAATTTATGTGATGAAGAATCCGACCTCTAAATCCGCACCCCTATCGAATATGATGTCATTACATCCATTAGAGGCAGAAGGGTTCCACCTCTTCACAAAATCAAAGTGCAAACAAACAATATAGTCTTCACTTAATAACAAATTGGTATTTCTGTGACAAAAGATGTATAATATTGAAGTTACCTCAGCATGAAGCTTCTCCATTGGCATCCATTCTCCCGGACCACAGAGGTCTGAAAGCACATTTGCCACAGATGATACAACATCCTTTTCTTCTAACTGCATGAGCTGTTGATTGTCAGCATCTCTGTCAACACGTGATCTTCCCTCTATCTTCTTATCTGCAAGACGTTTTAGGCCAAACAAGTTCCATGACGCAGATACTAAGTTCCATGATTCAGATACTAAGTTCCATTTAATGGGTATAAGCTTTACAGCTTCTACTAAGGAAACCATAGAAGCATGAAAATCTAGCAGAGTACAACTGTATAACATGGAATGGAATTAGCTTTTGGTTTGATATCTCCTGAAACAAATCTCCTGCTTTGATAAGAAATGTACGAGTAAAGAGTAATATTCGATTTCTAGGGTTAGCTTTGCATTATCATGACAACCGACTCCTCTCCAAAGAATGATAGAGGAACAGTGCATCCTGAATGAGCTTTCCCGAACCAATAAAGAAAAGAGTTATATGAATACTATATCAGATCGTGTAATTCAAGGAAATAGATTACTGCCTCTTATTCATTCAAAAGTTCCAAGTGCTCATCCTATATTGCATCCTCATATAGCATAAAATGTATCAACTATTTATTGTTCTTATTGTTATAGCGGTATATTTGTCCATACATATTAGCTATGATGATAGTGAGTGCATGTCAAGTGCCCTAAGAAGTTTACATGCCTCATAGCAAAGGTGGGATGTGAGAAGGAGCTGACAGGACTAGCGGCGGGGGAGAGGGTCGTAAGTAGCACAGATATAGATGAAAGGGGTGGCATGACGTCTACTCATCTAGATGCTAAAGACAACCTTTAAAGAAACAGTATTACGAGGTTAAATCGAAAATAGAGGTTGATATAAAAAAACTCAAATACAGAGGTTGACATCAGGGAGGTCTACATGGTTTCATAATTTGGCAGAACATTCCAAGTATTTTATTTTTCTAAACTGAACGGAAGGTTCATTTAGTTTTGGTAAATCATATGGGAGTTCTAAGTAAGATACCCTTGCTTTTCAAATATACAAATTCTGAGCCAACCTTGCTGTAATCTTCTATTAAGTATATAAGATTTAAGATGGTTGAGGATTCTGAGTTTCCGAGTTCAAAAATCAGGTTAACAGGAAACAAGAGACCTCAAACCTGGCTTTGATATAAGTTATAATGCAAAACCCATATGCTAGAAAGGAGAGCTCTTGAAAACCAATAAAAAAAAATTCCGCTATGGTGGTGTACGGGCTAACTTGCACACACCTCGACTATACTTGCTACCTCTCACCAACACAGGTACCGGGCAACTCTACCTGACAAGGCTTAGGTGGGTGGGAAGAAATCACCTAGTATTTTTTGTCTTAGTTGAGATTTGAACCTTGATCTCCAACGTATGCACCCACTTTATTAACCATTAGGCCACTCCATTGGGTGCAATCAAAGCCAATAATCAATAGAGACAGAATTAAGTTCATAAACTGATAAACTAAGATTTCACTCATGATAGGGAACATATTTGGTAACTTTCACCCAAAAAAACCCTAAAGCACTAAATCAGACAAGTGAAGATGAGCCAACCAAGAGTTGGTGTGTTCAAGTTGCCAAGGTGGCAGAGTGGAGCAAGTGCTACTGTTGACTTTTTGACAAAGGGTTATCACTGGATGGGAGGGTTCAGGGGGTTCGAGTCTAACAATATCAAAAAAGAAAATAAGAAATAACACCAAATCAAAACCAGTTAACAGGGCGGTTCTTGGAAATAGAAGGCAAACAGAAAAATGTCTTTTACGGTATATGATCATTGATGAAGCTTTGATTCCTAAAAAGCCTGAACAGCGCAGGATACAAGGGATTTTCATATGCGTTATACCAATCCTATCAAGTTGCTTTCCCTGTCATGATCACATGATGCCACTATCATACTCTCAACACTAAAGACCAAATTTCATAAACAAAGTCATTAATAACACCAGCAAACTAATAAGTCTGTCGATTTCATGTGTAAGCATAAAAACTGTCAAACCTAATCTCTACATCTCTTTGCTCCACTCCGGGTACTATTACCAAGGGTCTACTAAAAATATTAGAGCATATTTACATACATTAAACTTCCATCTGCAGTAACTAAATCCATAGAACTAACCATTACCATATAAGGACTGAAAGAAAATCTCTTCTGCGTCGATTCAATAAGACTATAGTAATTCAACAAGCAAGAACACCCCCTATACACAAAATCTCTTCTAGAGAAACACAGTTCACCGAACAGCAGAAAATCTCAAATAGCCACTTATAGAGCCAATAAAGACATCCAATAAAGATGAGTCTTTAACTTGTTAATCCTTCACAAGCAACACAAATCCTTTGTGGCAATTCTCAATCATAGTTAACAAATAAGGCATTCATATATATCGTCTAAGTCGATAAATTAACAGTCAAGAACGTATTTTTATTGAAAAGAAACACCATGAAACTGATAAAACTACTCACCTAAATGCCCAGAAATAGTAGCCTTCCCGCCGGAACCATACCCATAACCACCACCACCCTCAATGCCATCCCCTCTCCTCATCTTCTTAGCTCCAGAACCATCTTCCCCGCCGTCATCATCATCATACTCCTCCTCATAATACTCCCTCCCTCTTAACAAACCCTTTTTCCCTACCCCACCACCATAACCCACAGCCGGCGGCAAAGGCACATGTTGCTGCTGATGAGGATGATGGGGGCCCACAATAGGAGAGCCCCCAACTGGATAATTTACACTGACATGATGTCTACTAGGCCCAATCGGCCCACCTAAGATACTCCGAATTGGAAGAAGAAAATAAAACTCCTTATCTCCGATCTGAAGTAAATCCTGCGAATCGAGTTTTACAGGAGGGTTACCGGGAAGATGGAGCACACCTTCAACGAAACAGCCGTTTTTGCCTAACACTTCGAGGGCAAAACGACGCCGTTGGAAGTCGTAGAAGATGCGTGCGTGGTGGCGAGAGATGTTCATTCCGCCGCCGAGGGAAGATAAGTCAACGTCGACCGTTGACTTCTTGGAGTTACGGCCGAGGATTATGGAGTATGTCTGCATGTAATACTCGAAATCTTCGCCTTGTAGCTTCGCGAATCCTGCTTCCACATCGCTTCCGCTGCTACTTCCCATTTCATAGGACAATACGGGTGTGCAATTAAAGGGAGTTCGATTATGTGGTTATTCTNGCAAATAAGGTTTTGTGGTTAATCTATTTGTGGAATATAGAGGAGAGTGGAATGGGAAGAAGAGGGAGAATCGGAGTTCTGAGCATTGCATACATGAAAAGGGAAAGAGGAAAGGTGGAGTGTGGATTAGGACTTGGGATTTCCTATCCCGAATATGTTAAACCTTGGGGCAAATGGCAATTGCTTATTTTTGGCAAAAATTGTAATTTAGTCATCTTTTTCTAGAACAATAAGAAAAAGGAATTCCTAATCTTGTCATCATATTTTAAGTCATGTCAATACATTAACTTCGAATCCAATATGCATTAGGAGTATTCTTGTCTTGTCAAAATTTCATAGAAACTTATAGCACTAATAACATTAATCATTTATAATAATATTAAAGTGAAGTGAGATGAGATTAAATTGAGCACATGAAAACTAAATGAACTCCTATTTGCTTGAGGCGTGACAGGTTGTTGTTGTCGTCGTCATCTCTATAGAATTGCTCATTTGATTACTTAGCTGGATGCAAGATAATTAATAAAAATAGCTCCTTTCAAATGTAAGAGAAAAAGTTAAGAGAGAACACCTCTACTATCTCTATTCATGTATTAATAAGGAAGCATGTAAGTCTAAATTTTTATTTGTGTCTCAAATTATTGAATGTTTAAATTTGCTTGATCTTGAGAATATAAAATAAATGTGGTGATCTGGAGTAAAAATATCTTCAATAGTTCCAAATTAGAGACACCGAAGCCACAAGAATTACAAATCAATGTTCAATTTTACACTCGTTAATACAATAAATACACTTACTTTCAAACTAGTTTTAAGATTACACCAAAACTCGGACGATGAACTTAAGAATGTCGTGAAGACATGATGTGTTGCTCACAAGATCACTCTTTGTTGTTAAGTCTGCTTGTTGTTTGGTTCATATAATGGAAAGCGGAAGAGAAATGAGAAGAAAAGTCAACTGTTTTGCTCCTTCTGTGTGAAATATTTATAGTTTTATTTAAATTGTTTTGGTACAAATTAAAAAGAAACAAAAGTGATAGGAGTATATTTTATTACGTTCATCTTGTTTAGGATGGACCGAAAAAGGATAACAAGCTGAATGCCCAATTCCTCTCTTTACCACTTAGTTATGTTTTTTCATATATATATATATATACACACATTCCCCTAAAAAAGCTCACAAACCACAATTAGTATTTTCAATTAAGGAATTAAGTTACACCATTCTCTATTTTATTCTCTCCTTCTTCTACTACTGCCTCCCTCCCTATTCTTAGTAGTTGATATTAAGATAAAATTTTGGAATTTGTCTTTAACATATTGGAACATCAAAATAAGATCCACCTCCGGATTAAAGTTTTTTCGTAAGCTCCTTTTCGAATGGACATTAATGCACTTTTGATTTCACTATGAGGAAATAAAAGCCTCGCCTCTAGTACAGGTATGCTTGTGAAATACACACCCTTGAGTATATATTTAAGTCACTAAAAACTTCACCTAAAGAGAGAAGTTTTTATTTCTGAATATCTATGGCCAAATTGGGGAATAATCAAGACAAGGGTACAACCTGGTAGGACAAGTTTAATACAACTTTCTTATAACATTCATATAAAATTAATAAAACTACAAACATAATACAACTAAAACAATTTTTTATACAATATTAATACAATTTTGATATATATCAATAATTTTATATAAAAAGAGAGTATTTATTTAGCTTAAATACAAATTTCATATAACGATTTATACAATATACAACTTGTTTTCAACTTTCATACAACATTGAAACAAAGAAAATACAACTACAACATAATACAACTTTAATACAATCTGCATACAAATTTCATATAATTACAATACAATTTTAATACAATTTCTATGTATATTATATGTCATGTATTTCTTCTTCTTCTTCTTCTTCAAAACCCAGCCAAAATCAAATCTAATCTTCACCAGATACCCTCAAAATTCAGATATAAACCTCAAAGAATATTTTCAGTCGTTTGCAACAATACCCAATCTAAAAATATAATATTTTTTGAAAACCTAAATTCGAATTCAAAGCTTCAAAACTTTTTAATGACTGTCAATGGTGGAGAGTCCAATACCTTCAAAATTGATTGATTTATAATTTCAATTCGCACAGCAACTGTGCAACATAGAAGGAAATTGCTAAGTTAAAACTCCATAGTCAAACGATTGAAATCCATTGATGAATTCCCTCAAGAAAAAAAGATAAAGGAGATGAGAAAAGAGAGAGAAGCAGAGAAGATCAAATGAAGAAAAATAGGGTTGAGGAAAGTAAGAGAGAGAGACGGAAAAATTAGATACGCTATTTGTGTAGGAGATAACTAATATGCCTTATTCAATTTCTAATATCAACGGTTACTCATTTAATACTAATTTGTATTTAATTGGTAAATTGTATATCAACTTGTAATTATGTTAAAACTTCAATAGTAAGAATAAATAAGTTTAAAAAATAGTATAGCTAAGTAAAAATTCCAGCTCGTAACGTGAGGCTCCTGCTTTTTTATTTTTTCATTTATGTTGTATGCAACTAGTTGAGGAAAAACTCTTTAATACACGTTGCAAATTAATGTTACTCCATTTATAACATGAGTGAGACTTGTTTTTCACATTTTATTGTTCTAGTTCATATATTCCCCTTTAAAGAGGAGTTGGAATATTTTTCACAACTCTCATTTCACTTGGATGAGAGATAATATACACATGGTTAATGAATCATAACTGATCCTAAGACCAAAATTATTTGCTCACGCTCTTTATCTTGTGCGAAGGTGATGAGAGCCTAATATAATCGGTGGTCTTTTTTTTTCCTTTTTTCTTATACTTCATTTTCCTGCAAATACTTCAACGATTAAAACGAGTTTTATTTGAAAGGATATGTCGCGACCCGAAATTCCCTCCTGATCGTGATGACGCCTAACATTTCACTTACTAGGTAAGCCAACGTTAGAATAATATTACCAATTTTAAAATAATTTTTGAATTATTAATAATCAAGGAAACAAAAGAGGAAGCAAAGTTTGAAATATAGTGAAATAATCCATAAAAACAACGGTGTCTAAATACCATCCCAGAATTGGTGTCACAAGTGCACGAGCTTCTAGAATAAATACAAATAAAAGTCTGAATAAAATAAAGCTGTCTGAAAATAAATACACAGCTAAAGTAAAATAGACGGGGACTTCAAAACTGCGGACGCCATGCAGTTATACCTCACTCCTCTGGTAGCTGAAATCCGAGCAAGTCTATGATACGCCGCTGGGACCAACTCCAAAATCTGCACAAGAAGTGCAGAGTATAGTATCAGTACAACCGACCCCATGTACTGGTAAGTGCTGAGCCTAACCTC